TTGGCTCAGATCTACAGATCGAAAATATTAGACCCGCCCGAATTAAGAAATTTTTTTTTTAAGAACTTTTCAAAGAAGTAGGAATTTAGGAATACGAGATTTTATTCTTTTTAACTTGTTTCTTTTTAATATCAGAGACGGATGATTCGCGTTTGTAATGACTTAATTTAAACTCTGGACCGCCTGCAAGAGTTATTGATCGCATCTGAGCCGCAAGAAATGGATTTGTTAATCGTTATTGACACTTAATGTTATATAGTGCTTAATTCTTACTTCAAATATTTCTGTAAATTATGTACATATTTTTAAAGTTGAATAAAATTATTGTATTATTTAGCAATTATTGAATGAGGCTGAGTAGGATATAAAGAATTCTGCAGATCGAGGAGGGTGTTATTCACCAAGGCCAAAGGCGGAGGTGGATAACACCCTCCGAGATCTGCAGAATTCTTCATATCCTGCGATAGCCGAATTCAACAATTGCTATATTATTCATTCAAAATAATTCCAACTTTAAAAACAAGTTAAAAATGCTTACCTCGGTCGATGTTAAGTTCACATCGATAGAGCATCTTTTTCGGGAAATTTAGCAGATAATTAAAGGTCTGCTCAGGTCTGCAAATATAATCCTTCTCGCTGTTCTTGCTATGTTTTTAGACAATATTTCGTCGTTAAACGAGTACAATGTCCGCCCGATAGTGCCGCCATTTTAACAACTCAACCTGGACCCCAGGTTTCCTCGGTCAACGGTTCAATATGACGGTTCAATATGACAAATTATTCAACCGATGACGTCATTTTAACGTCATCGGTTCAATATGACAGTTCAGCGGCTGGTTATGGTGAATTATGCGTGTGGTTTTACCCAATCAGAAACGGGGAAATATTTCGAATGAATAATAATAATTATTGTTATTATTATTATTATCATTATTATTATTATCATTATTATTAATATTATTTCAAAAGCATTTAGGAGCAGTACTCAGCCTAAGATCTTATCTTAAGGGGTATGTAAGTGAAAAGGTGGACGATTGGGTTGGCTAGGTGGTGAAACTGGCAGAGTTTGCAGCAACCCAACCACAAGCCTGCTATGCGGCATATACCTTAGGTTTGAAGCACAAATGGACGTACTACCTAAGAATATTTAACAAATACTCTTTGCGGCGAGGTAAATATTCCCAAAGCCACTATTCACCGAGATTGAAAAGAATAATTGTTTTAGTATATACACACGAGGTGATCTCAACAAAATCAGAGAGGAAACCATTAAAAAGCACGATTTGATTGACAGATCAAATCACGCGAAAGTTTAAAAATAGATCTTTGTAGAATTTTGAAACATGGCAATTCACAAGTTCATCACTTCGCAAACAACCGTGTAATGGCTTTAGTGGAACCGTTAAAAGTTTGAATTGTTTCCTTACCTGAGAAGAAAAGAAGACGTTTGTTGTTTTCTGTTGACTCGCCAAGTTTATAGCCGAAAAGGTTTGTTGTGTCGTTCTCATTCGCATAAAGTGTTGACAAAAAATTATGGCGGGTCGGTTCCTCGAGGTAAGACGTCGTCTTCACGTGGCATTCTTTGTCTTATTTACTTGAAACGTAGAATTTCTGCAAACGTTTGCTTTCAAATTTGTTTGCCATAACTAAACTTCGATTTTTGTGCCAAATGTTTCCTGTTAGGAAACGCGAATAAACGGGAGTTATAAACAATTCATCGACCACAAAACTCAGTTAAAGTAAATGGAAAAACGCCGTTTTGAATCCTTCGAAGCCTTTTCTTGCCTAAAAAAAAGTCAACCCTAGGATTTCGTCGACTTTTAAGAGATCGTTCTCTAAAAAAATGGGAAAAAAGCGAGCTCACACATTATCCACTCGCTAGGAGGTGAATATTGTTGAATAGTCCGAGATAGCGAACCAATCAGATTGCTTAAATCACCAATATCACTGAGTGTGTATATACTAATGTCCGATATTAAGGAACTGCTAGAACCATTAGAACACGCTATTAGTGATGCCCTGATACCATCAATTACGGGCCATACATGCACAACGAGTGAGCGAGAACTGCTGGCACTACCAATGAGGAAGGGAGGACTGGGACTAGAAAACCCAGTTGAGCGAGCTGGATTCGAACACGCAATGTCTCTTCAGGTAACCGCCCCTCTTGTCGCGCAAATCGTATCCCAGGCGCATGAACCTCCAGATGATGCTCTGATAAGATCTTTGCAGTTAACCACGCGTAAAGAGAGACATGTGAGACTGGACAACAAATTAGAAGACCTGAGGAACTCCCTACCCGAGAAGACCAAGAGAGCGGTCGATCTCGCAACAGAGAAAGGTGCTTTAAGATGGCTAACTCTCATCCCGGTAAAGGAAATAGATTTAAATCTCAACAAGAGAGAATTTAAAGATGCAGTCCATCTAAGGTATGACTGGCAGATAAGTGGCGTACCAAATGTATGTGTCTGCCCTTTGATGTCGATGATGCAATGATTTCTAAACGGAGGGGCTTCATTATACAACGCGATAACGAGCTGCGGGATCTTGAGGCGCAGATGCTTAACCTGGTCTGTCATGATGTTGAAATTGAACCTGTTCTGCAGGAGATTACCAGTGAGTCAATAGCCTGCTAATACAGCCCCCGATTCCCGGCTTGACATTCATGCACGGGGTTTTTGGTGTAGACAGGCTTCCACATTCTTTGACGTACGGGTGTGCCACCCAAATACAGAATCTTACAATGACCTCACCCCTCAGCAAATATATCGCCAGCATGAGAACGAGAAGAAACGTATGTACGCAAGCCAAGTTATGGAGGTGGAGCAAGCCACGTTCATGCCGCTGGTGTCCACCACTACAGGTGGCATGGCACCTGAATGTCAAGTCTATCACAAGCGACTAGCGGAACTCCTGTCAGCCAAGAAAGGCGAGGACTACTCGACTACGATGTCGTGGATAAGAACCAGAATCTCATTTGCCATTCTGAGAACATCCCTCCTATGCTAAAGGAGATCGCGTTCAATGAGGAGAGTAAATCTCAACCTAAAAGAGATGGACTTTAACATCGAAAGAGGACTTTTAGGACGCTAGATTTTGATTTAAAGAAAAGATATTGAATATTGCATATTCAATTATTACTGCTATTTAATATTCTTATCGTTGTTGGTTCATGTTGAAATCGTGCCAGATTTTAAAGAGGAATGAGGGAAATAATGTTAAATATTGGTAGTCATTGCTCATAGTAATAGTAACAGTAATTAGTAGAGAAACATTGTCGTGGATTATATTTCAAGAGATATTGAGACATTACGATCTTTTCTTTTCTTTCTAACAGATGTTAAGGTACAAATTTCGTTTTAATTCTTTTTTAAGTGAAGCACTGTATATGGGTCTTTTTTATGAGTAATATCATTAAGCTAGTATAGACGATCATATAAGCGACGACAGGCAGCTGTGGTCATCAAATGCGGTTAGCACTGCAATAACGCCAGTTGAAAATCAGAATTTCTTGTCGATCTGTTTCCTGCATGTTGACGTTCAAGCAATAAAATATTCATTGCCATATGGAGACAGCAACAGATTAACCGAACTCTTTTCTCTTGAATTCAAAAGCACGCATATTTACAACATTTCTTTTTAATTACAAGTCTCACTTTACTCTACGATTTATCATTCAGGGTTTTGAAATCAAACGCCATAAGGAAACTACATGGTCAAACTTTTGTCAACTTAAAAAGACTATCTTACCTGTAAGTGAAACGCTGTATATTTGATAAAACAATTAAATAAGGATGAAATACATGTTGCAGCGAGTGTTCAGCCTAGAGACGTTATGTTGGTAGAGAGACTCAGAGAGAGTGGAAGTACTGTACAAAGTGTTATCTGCTCTTCTGTCGCTGGCTTGGTTCGCCGGGCTTGCCTGACCGACATGATTACATGTTTTATTTCCAGCCCGATTAGGCGGGATTGTGACATCACAATACCAGGATCCCAGTTAACCCACCTGGCGTGCTTATAGCGTAGTCACAAATCTGATTTTTGTTGTCTTAAGGAGCCAAGATTTCGGCAAAGTGTCAAACTGGGTAAGATCCGCTGATGTAATCAGGTCCTATTAAAAATTAGTTAAAGGTATCAGGATATTTCGTTAACCACCTCATCATTATGCATTTAAAATTTCCTATAATTGATTTTTTTGTGGCAGCTGCAGTAATTGACCTTTGATTCTGTAGTGAGTTTAAGGGCGAATGGGCTAAAAGTAAAATATTAATAAAATACAGGTAAAAAATGTTAGGACTAGACGAGAGAATAAACAAATATTATCCTTGTTTCTTTTTACAGGTTTTTGGAATCAAATCTCATATTTGAGCTTCCTGAAGGAGTCTTTTCCAGTCAGAAAAGCCTACGTTTCCTGTAATGTGTTTTATGACAGCTGTAACCCCGTTTTCCCATGTGGTTAATCCATTTGCGGTTTCTTATATCATTAACACCTTAGTTTTAAAGACAAAGAGAGAAAAAGCGTGCCAAGAAAAAATGTTTTAATACGAGAAAGTAGGCAAAAATCCGCAGGGTGGGGGGGAGTGGTTACTCCCTCATATAGGCTATATAGGTATCTCCGGCGCCAAAGGGTATGGTTTTTTAGCCGTTTTGGTCAGAAATAGGGTATCAATTTTGACCATTTTGGTCTGAAATAGGGTATGGTTTGTGCACTCTTGTCTTGAATCGGGTATGTTTTTTAGAGGAAGCTACTTCTTCATCATTAGGCGATAAGGCTATTTCCCGTTTAATGTTTACGCCCACCGTGTACGTGCCGTAACAGTACAGTTTTGTACTGTTTTGTATTCTACTTAATAAAAGCGTATAAACATTTCCTTTAACCTTGGTCTGCCCTGGGAACTGATTATAAGGCAGGCCTGTAATAAGGTATTGATTTAAAGGTCAGGTCTGAAATAGGGCCATGACCAAATTTTTGATCTGGTCTGAAATAGGGTAAGGGTTTTAGGAAAAGTGCCGCAGACCCTTACCCAATTTTTCTGGAAGTACACCCCCCACCCCGGGCAAAAAACACGTCTGATCGGGATTCGCGGCACTCCAAGACGTTTGCGTTACCTCGCCCCATGTAAGGTTTGAATTCTGGGTTCCACGTTGTGGATTCCGACTTCCAGATACAGGATTTCGTATTCCTTAATTTGTCGTTGGAACGTGGTTTCCAGATCTTATCGTAAGCGGAATTCCGGATTCCTTGAACTGAGTTCCAGATTAGAAAGCACAAGATTGCAATTCAGAAGCAAAAATTTCCAGGATCACCTTACATTGGGTAAAGGTGATGTTACAGGAGACGATTTTAGCGAAACACAGCGTTGCAAGATTGTTTCGAATAGTTACAACTTTGTTCCAAGATTGCAAGGCTGTGTTGAGCTAAAAATCGTCGTTGCGAATCGTCCCGTGTAACATCACCTCAACAAGGTTTTACTGCTATGGTTTTAGTCATATGGGTTTATGATTTTAAAGAGTTATAGAGGGAGTATGTTGCGATTAAAAGCCGAGTAACAAAAATTGTCAATATTCTGATCGTTTCTATGAAAGATTTCATCATGAGTTTTTCGATGTCAAAGGATCTACATTGTCGTCTCTGTGTCTTGAATAATCTTATTACGTATTGTTATTATTCTATTCTTTACCACAAGAAAACTGTCTTCAAACGCTATAACAGTGCTACCTGAAAGAGTCTTCGCCAACTTAACCAACCTTCGCTATTTGTAAGTGAAACGCGTCTCTTTAAATTTTCAATTGGATTAAATTTCAACGCCGTACCGTTTTTTCTTTTAATTATTTTAGGATTTCGATGTTCAAGTTTTCTTCGCACATTTTTTATCTCAAACTGGTGCATAATTTGCGTGTAAAACTAACTCTTTTCAATTGGATTAAATTTCAACGTCGTACCCTTTTTGCTTTTCTTTTTTTTAGGATTTTTCTCTTTGCAAAATTATATTTCAAATTGAATGTTGAACTTCAGTCGTCAAGTGTTAACAAAGCATACGATGTTTAGTTGATTGTGAGTTTAAAGTTTAAACTGAAGGACAATATCATAAATTTATTTTTCCAGAGAACTGAAGTCAAACAATATCATAGTGCTACATGAAAGAGTCTTTACCACTCTACGAAATCTACGTGAACTGTGAGTAAAGAAAAACTCTGGAACATAGCTAATATTCTGGCCTCTCCCATCCCCAACTTAGTGGGCCTGTTATTTTAAACGGATTTCAACCAGTGTTTAACAAAAACGTGTTCTTAGTCATTTTCAGTTTGCCCAACGCTTTTATCAAAACACCAGTTTTCTTGAACAGTTTTATTAATGCAGACTAGAAAAGCATTTATCTTCTTAAATTAACCCGGCACTAAGGAGGAGATCTAGAAGTCCAATCATATCTTAAACAGCGGTCTAGGTTAGACTTTGTTTAAATAACCGACCCAGTGATTCTTGGTAGATAGAGCGAGTTTGCTATGCATGATTAAAATTTCCGGTAGATCCAGTTGTGTATGGATTTATTCAAAGCGAAGTTCAATGCAAATTTGAGTTGATAATAACATGGTTATCATTATCAATTTTCGTTATTTCTTTTTCTCATTTTTTCAAGTTGCAATGACGTTTTTCACATTGACCGTCAAAATTTCTTTTATCGTTAGGGATTTGTCCTTCAATAAGATAAAAGAGCTACAGGAAGGTATACTTGGAAACCTAAGAAAGCTGGAAGAACTGTATGTGAAGACAATAGAAACACCTTCTTCGTACACTTATTTCATTAGTTTAAGCTAATTTTGCCGGGTAGAAAAAATTGAGTTCACCTACTATTTATTTCATTAAGGACCTCTTTACATGGAAGTGGGGGCCTCTAGGTAGGTGAGGTAACCCACTTAGTTGGGTAACCCGCCTGTCCATATAATCTCTCATTTTAATTTGATCACGTTTACATGACCCGCCACATGTTACCTCACCTGTGGGGTCCCCACCTCCATGTAAACAGGCCCTAAGGCCGTAGGGTACACCCATTCATGAATAAATTCATAAGGCAAAATTTTGCTTGTGCCGTCTCTTCTAAAACACAAGGATTGTTTTCTACTTTCGAAGATGGCAAAAACATGATCTTGTATTCCAGTTTGCGGATCGGAAAGACCTTTTTAGCTCATATGTTTTGCTTTCCCATGTCATATCACATGATAGTACCCCAGAGAACGGTTTCTTTCAAATGTCGTCCTATGCACGTGTATCCACGTGCATAGGTATGGATAATTATAAAAAAACAAAAGGCGAATTTAATGGTGTGAATGAAGAGGCTGTTCTTGTACTGCTTTTAGACTACAGTACGCTTAAAATGCTCTTGTGGCGATTTTATAGCCGAATTTTTAGTGTTTTATGAACTGAAGGAAAATTTTAAGTAGTTTTTTCAATTACTGTACGTGATATCTACATTCCGTTTGTTATTAATGAGAACAATTGTTAAAGAAATGCAAATGAGATGCACAGTGTGTTCCACCGAAACTGCATTGCTCAGAAACCACTCTACCGAGTGGTTTAAGACCCTGTCCCTTGTGGACATGGCCTTAATAGAGGGCGGTGTTTATTCCCGAGCGATTTTTAATCGAGTAATTACGGTATTCTTATAAATAAATCAGCAAGGCCTTGCTTAAAATTTTCTTTCTAAGCCCAAAGGACGAGGATGTACCACAAGTTAGGTACCTTAACAACTAAGATGGTACGCGCGCACTGATTGGCCGAGAGGAGTGTTTGCGTGAGAGTATGTAAACAAGCAACAAACATGGTTGTGATGTCAAGATGTTTTCCTTTTCGCGTGCTAGTCACGCAAGCACGAATTTGACAAAGATTTTGAGTTCAAAACTCGACAAGTTTACTTTATTTACCCATTCCTTCGTCGGCTGAAACTTGGAAAATCTTTACAAACCAGCTGTGTCAATTTTGTTTTCGCTTAAGCTGACATTTTAAGCCCGAAAAATCCGTACTTTGGAAAGCATCCTTTAGCAAAACAAGAACTGATTACGCGTACAAGAGTTCGTGGGTTACGAATTTATGTGTACAAGACTTTGCGACTGGTAAGAATTTCTCTTTTAATCAGGGCCATAACAAAGAGTTTTGCGTTTTTCTCGGCAAAGTTATTTTATAAAAGCAATAGAAAACTTTTTTTCGTGTGTTTGCATAGCCTGATATATAAACACTGGAGGGGTCATGAGAATTCTCGACAGTTATGCTGTAAAGCTGTCTCGAATCTCATGTTTATATCAGGCTATGCAAACACGGGAAACGTTTTCTATTGATTAATTAGTTAACGTTTATCGATACATTAATATTTTTCAATTATTTTAATGGCGTTGTCTCTTTGTTCATTGTGGTACTTTTTGCTTTTTTTTTTACAGGAATCTGTACTCGAACTCGCTAACAGCTATTCCAGGGCTATTATTTTCGAACCTAACAAACCTGAAAAAATTGTACGTTACCTCTACAATAATGTCCACAACGAATGAACGAGCACACCGATTACACTAATGGCCCGTTTACATGGAGGTGGGGGACCCCAGGTAGGGTATCATGTAAATGTGATTAAGCGGGTTAACTCAGCTACCTGGGGTCCTCCACCTCCATGTAAACAGGCCCTAATTCCTCTTCTAATCGGTCAAAATTTTAACTTTACATGTTATAAATGTGATCAGGCCTATCTCTAAAGTGCACTTAACTTAACCTGGTAAAACTTTACAACTCCAGGAGACATTTTTTGAATTTATAAAACAAACAAAGGGTGGATGCATTTGCAACATACGAGTATAGCTTTCGCATTTGCTCACTGGAATTTTTAATTGTTTTTAGGCTTAAAAACAATAAGAAACTTCCAGCAGGCAAATGTGACAGCTGTACGCGTTTGTTGTAAATGAATCCACCCATAACAGGAATCATATTATCAACACAATTTTTGTTTATTGATTATTTCATTATTATTTTCCGGTAAGTTTTTTTCGTTCCTACATGTACGTGACTGTTCATTATCAACAAGCTTTCTGCTCGTTATTTCTATGAGACTACCGTTTTAATTTTCACTATGTTGTCTAAGGTTTCTGTTCGAAATAAATATTGAATTGGTTCCCTATAAACAACGCAGAACATTTGACAATCCAGCACTTTGCTTCACTTTTTGAATTGGCGTTATTAAATAGGCCGTTCCTTCAAACAGGTATTTATCAGGAAACCCTATAAACGAGTTGCCGGGAAACCTTTTTGCCAATTTGAATAATTTGGACTACATCCTGTAAGTAAAAGTTGCATTTAAAAAAATTAACTTGTGTAAGTTATTCATTTTTCAAATCATATTATCACAAATAACCATAGTAACACACTTGGGTTGTTTAAGGTCCTAATGATGTTTCATTTTCCGGGAAAAGCCCCCGGGGCGGAAGACGATAATTTTTAATTTTTAATATTATTTTATTATTATCAGACCTTAATACATAGTCACGAATTAAGCCAATCAGAACCTTTTAGTTTACATAATTATACATTCCTTGTTATCAACAAGTGTAAACTTATACTCGTTTAAAGCGAAGCCTAAAAGAATCTATGTAATAAATGGCGCATGCGCTCAGAGCTTCCCACGCAGACATTCTTAGGCGTGCATCACTAAGAATGTCTGCGGGAGAGGCTAATGCGCTCAATGCCGCATAAGATTTTAAAACTGTCAGGCCAACTTTTCTGCAAAGTCGCCGGGAGATTTTTCTTCGTTATTTTCAACGATTTAACGCATATTATTTTGGGTGGCTTAAGCAAAGACATTTTTGTATTAGCTCAAATGTTCAGGCAATCATGGCGTAGCTCTCGCACGAGAAGCGCGCGCCGCGGAGCACCAGCGGATAAGAAAATGTGGTAATCAACCGAGAAATTTTGGTAATCACGTGACCGTACACCGACTGCCCGACCGCCCGCCCGAGAGACCGTCCGTCCGCACCACAGGCATAGCAATGTAAAATAACTCAATCAACAGGCATGGCAACCCAAATGCAACTCGAGATTATTTTGGCGGGAAATCGCATAGCCACCCGTGTCTTGTAAAGCTGGGGCAGCTAAAGAGTCAATAAAGACGAAACCGGAAAGCGAAAATTTTTTTGTTGTAAGAACATGAAAATTTTGTAGCGGCGGTGACAAAATGAGAAATGCTAGCGTCCACCAATGCAAGGAGAAAATGTGCTGCAGTGAACGAGAATACGTACGATATTTCCTCCATAAAAAGGTTTCTGGAAGTTTCACCTTGTAGTCGTGCAAAGCAACGGAAAAGAAATCTACAAAAAAAGTGTGCTGCACGTGCAAAGTTGCTTTTGCTAATAAGACCTTTTCTTGTTTTTTCAACGTTCTCAGGCGTTGCCTTCGCCGCTTTTCATCACACGATTTTATATTTTGTTTGAACAAACTATAAATATTATCGAGAGCTTCCCTTTTAGCCCTGGCTAAATCTATGTATTATTTATAACAATAAGAACACTTTGCTTAGCATTGCAAATTTGATAGCGTCAAGGCATATTATGAGGGGGAAAAGGCCTCACTTCCGATTAACGTGCGTCGCTCAAAAACGCTTTTGCTTAACAAGCTCTCTTTAAAAAAAGGAATTGCAGTAGCTTACGATTTGTGATGTCCCGTTGGTAGGTCCTTGTCTTATAACTCTATTACAGCGTTACCTGACGGGGTGTTTTCGAGTCTGACGAAGCTAGAAACACTGTAAGTAAAACGCAGGCACACTCAGTTGTAGTTTTTCTTCTCTATTTACTTATTATTTGTTTATTTTAATGTAACGCAATTCTTTTCAAACTTCCATCGTCTCGGCTATTCTTTTGAATTACCCTAATGCAGATATTTGTCTTCGAACGCCTTAACAGTGGTATCCGAACACGTGTTTGCCAACCTGAGACTTCTAAACCTTCTGTGAGTAGACTGCAAGCGAAAACTTTGACCCGGCTGCAATGTGTTTGCTGCATGCGATTAGCTTACAGAACGTTACCACTCATGTGGTCTAAAGCTTACCTTCCTTACAGCCGTCGTAGTTTTAAACTAGACCCTTTCTTATTCTAGATATAAAAAAAACCGAATCTAATAATTGTTTTATTATACATTAAAAGAAAAAAAAGACGGTCACGACAGTAAGTGGAACTGATAATTTATTTCTAAACAGGTAGAAACACCTCAGGTTCTCTCAGTTTTTTCTCTTTCACGTGATCAGCAAACAGCTCCTTTGCCACCTTCGTCGACCTTTTTGCGTTTGTGAGTTCCTTTCTTCAACTATTTTTGCGATGTCTTGCTGGGTCAACGAAGCAAGACCTGGAAGTCCTGTTTTTGCTTCTTTGCTTGTTCCCCGACGACAAGCGGCACAAAGTACGCAAACTTGATATGATTACCCTTAGAAATCAAGCGCCGCGGTCATACACGACATGATTACCCGAGACCTTGAGTGTCCTTGACTTGATTATTGTATAATCTGCAGCTAGATGAGGTCCCAGGCGCTGAGTTCGAAACTTCACTGTACGCTTTCGGCCAATAAGAAAAGAGATAGTGAGTTGAATGTCTAATATATATATATATATATTAGGCAACATGAGGATGACAACATTTACCGATCGAGACTTTGATTATTCCGGTCATCACAAAAACCGAATCTAATACTGATTTTATTATCGGCGGCAGCCGAAGGCTGAGGATGACAACATTTACCGATCGAGACTTTGATTATTCCGGTCATCACAAAAACCGAATCTAATACTGATTTTATTAAACATCGCTTTTAAGGAAATAACGATACCCACACCTTCGCACGACAGTTAGTAGAGGGAACACAGATTGACATTGCTCTTGAAAATTATGCGTTGCACGCGCAACCTACAGATTAGTCATTCATCTGCTAGCAGATAACTGACTAATCTGTTGGCTGCGCTGATGTCAAAAATAAACTGTAGGCTCTTAGCCAATGAGAGGACAGATAGTGAGTATAATGTATAATAAATAGAAGATCCTCAAAGTTAAAAACGCAACTCAGGCAGTTGCAGAAAGAAAGCCTGAAAAAATTCAGGCTTGCGGAGATTCGAATCATGTCCTCTGCTGTAACGGTACGGGCAAAGATGAAGATGAAATAACACATATAGGAATTCAAATCCTTTTTATTTAAAAAAAAACTTTTAAAAGACATACCTCGCTCGATGTAAACTGAAGCACCATTTCTTCTTAGCATTTGCCTGTTCATTGGCATTTTCAGAATATAAAGGCATTTTTAGTCTAGCAAATACTCTTCAAACAGCATTTCTCATCCCTCCGGTAGTATTCCGCTTTTTTTTTTTTGTTATTTTTGGTATCTTCTTTGGCCAGAACTTTGGCTTTTTTTTTCTTCCCAAAACGTGTGAAATCATTTTTCATGGCATTTGACTCATTTTAATGATATCGGTAAACATCTTCCAAATTTGGTCAAGAGTAGCTAATTATGAATAACCAGCCGGCGAAATATTCCAATAAAAAAGGAGAAGAGCAAGAAAAGGAAGAAAAAGAAGAGGGAGAATATTTGATAATCCGCATGATCTAAAATTATTCTTTGTTTTTTCTCCATTACGCAGTGGTTTGTCTTCAAACGCTATAACAATGATTTCTGAAAAAGCGTTCGCCAACCTGAGAAGCCTGTTGATACTGTAAGTAAATGCAATATACAGTCACAGTATAATCATGTATAATTATTCGTTGTAGTAGTAGTAGTAGTAGCAGTAGTATCGTTATCGTTATAATTAATGTTCTTAACCCAATCATTGTCATTGTCATTGTCATTTCATTGTTAATATCGTTATTACTATTATTATTATCATTAAAATTATAATTATCGTTATTATAATCATAATTATTAGCATTGTCTTCATCATCATCATTGTTATTATCATTATTGTTATGATAATCATTATCACTATCATTTCCATAATTTTTATTATTAGCGGAGCACCATGGGTAAGATTATTTGGTAAACTGTGCATCCAAGAAATTTTGGTTTTGAGAAAATCGTCCGTCCGGGGTACGTCCGTACGTACGTCCACCCCTTCATGTAAGCCGGGATGTAATTTTGCATTTCAAGCACCCGAGTGTTTTCACGGTAAATCGAATTGCTTCCCGGACTTTTAGAGATAAAAACAACAACAACAAAACCGATTCTTTACTTCGACTTAATTTTAATGTCTACATTGGCGTGGATAACAGAGAAAGAGCTAGAACGAAAGGTAGAAAACGAGGAGACCAATTTCGTTGTAAGAAAAACAACAATTTTATATATAGCGGCGGTAAGAAAAAGGGGAAATGTTAGCGGCCACCAAAGTGAAAATGAGCGGCAGCGAAAACAAAAGTGAACAGGAACACATAAAACGCGTAACTAGGAAGTTTCTGGAAGTTTCTTATTGAAGTCGTGAAAAACAACGCCCAAGAAATGTACTAAAAAAGTGTGCTGAACGTGCAAAGTTGTTTTTTGTTGCTAATTAGACCTACTATTTTTATCGCTGTTTTCGTTGGCGTCGCCGCTTAACATTACACTATTTTATATTCTATTTGAGTAAGCTATAGATATTAGACTAGGGAAAGCTTCGCTTTTAACCAAGGCTAAATCTTTACATAGTATGCTCTGATTGGTCAAAATTTGATAGGTGAGTTCATGCGGAAATGGAACTTTACTGATAGCTCAAGCGGACAGAGTTTTGAGTCATCTTGTGATGGTTTTAACTGTCTTTTTCCACTGGATGTACGAAATGAAATACAGCTGCTACCAAGAATATTTTACTATTCATGGATGGTCTGTTTGTTGGGTTTTTGGTTAAGAAACGCGCCGCTTGTCAGAAATCCGACATAAGGTTGCTTCTTTAGCTGTAAAAGGATTTTTTTTCTAGAAGCAACGGACATGGATAGGGGTTACGAAGAAAAGGAAAAAATACTTGATTCAACTATTGTTAGTCAATACTCCGAACAGACTAAGACAGATCACTTCCCCCCCCGCCAAAAACCAAAACAAACAAACAAACAAACATGAATCATTTATCTTTACCTCGTTTAAAACAGGGATTTGTCATCAAACAAAATAGAGGAATTACCTGAAGCTGTCTTTACAAACCTCCGTTATCTAGACAAACTGTAAGTGGTACAGATAAATATTTTAAGTACAGCAAATACAATATTATCCTGCAAAATTACTACAGCACTGAATTACTAACCTTCTGAATATTTTGAAAAGCATTTTCTGTAATAAAAACAGATGACACGCAGACGGAATCAGTGCTTACCCCTCATCTCACCCATTACACTCAACAGTTTGAAACAGATCAAGCAAAGGGGACTCTATAATAGACCACTTTTTTGCCACCTTTTTACAGGGATTTGTCATCAAACAAAATGCGGGAATTGCCTGAAGCTGTCTTTGCAAACCTCGATTCCTTGGAGCAACTGTAAGTGGTACATCAATAAGATGACATCAATAAGACTCCGCAACACAATAAAGCTAAATCACAAAGCTAGTGCATTTTCTAAAAAAATGTGCCTGTCAGCGAAACAGCAGGTAATGACACGCAATATTGTTCAACGTAAAGGAAAGAAAATATTAATCGAAACTATGCTACATACATTGCAGACTTTCAATTGTATCATTTCTCCTTCTGTATCGTATCTTCTTCTTGTTCTCTAGTTAATCTATTGTTTGTTGGTAAATATCTATTGCAAATGGCTTTTTGCCCGGTAGTATTAATTGTAAATGTGATTATCAAGAACAAAAAATCTCCCTCTAGTCGCTATGAAAATATTGTATCATTTACGTAACAAATGTCAATGGTGACATCATAAGCCTTCATCACAAATCCAACCGCAACAGTAATATCAGTTATGACACTAACAACTGCCACATTCATTAAAATAGCCATTTGCTAGTGGTCACTGATAATATTTTTAAAAAAAGTTTGAGTACCATCATATGGTAAAGAAGAATCAATAGGCTGTTGACGACAGAGACTAGGGCTTCAAAATCCAGTGCGGAAGTACTCGTCACAGCTAGAAATCTTGTCGAAACCTCTTTCTGTGGCACCAGTCGTCCTTATCAGGAATAAGAACTCCCCTGTAAGACACCCAGAAGACAATACTCAACCGACTTACGACATTCAATTGAGGCACTTAGGGCCCAAAAGGTGAATGAGTCTTCTCCTTATTAATGAAGTCTTCTTTTTTGCAAGTAACCTTTCATCAAACGCTATATCAATACTACATAAAGACGTGTTTGCTAATCTGAGGAGGCTGAACATACTGTAAGTTAAGGGTCACTTACACTTTACATAACCTTTATTGTGTTTGAGAGAAGTGATTTATTTTAATGTCATGTTTTGTTAGAAACCCATGATTTATTTTAATGTCATGTGAAATTAAAGTTGTTAAAAGTGGTGGTGGTGGTGTGGTGGTGGTGGTGGTGGTGGGTGGTGGTAGTGGTGGTGGTGGTGGTGGTGGTGGTGGTGGTGGTGGTGGTGGTGGTGTGAGTGGTAGTAGTAGTAGTGGTGGTAGTAGTAGTGGTAGTGGTGCAGTGGTAGTAGTAGTAGTGGTAGTAGTAGTACCGCATCATTTTACAGTAAAAAGTGTAGACAATCAAAATATAAAACACAACAGTAAAAATTCGTTAGAATCACGTATTTTCATGCAGGAGGAAACAAACTTCATAACTAACTTATTTACATGTGTTCCTTCGAATTCATTATCAGTTTTATGTTTCTGGAGATGATTTCTTGTCAAAGTCAGTAGATTGATTTGTTAATAAATGCCTGTCTCTGTAATGTATTTGTTACATTGAAAGAGGAAATAGTTTGAGTGGGCAAATGATCGTTTGGTATCGACCATGTGTTTGTGATTACTTATTTTAAATTTAACAAAATTCTGTCGTTCGTCATAATGTCATAGCTGGTAGAGATAATCAGATGTAGTATTCATCTTTAAAAGTTTTATAAAATTCTAGTTTTTTTTTTAATTTTCGGATATTTCTCTCTCATTTCTGTGGTATATCGTCTAATTTTATCATTATCTAGGATTCAGCATCTAAACTGGTTAGATTGTATTGTTCAAGCATGTTTATGAAATTGGAAAAATATCCGGAATTATTCATAGAATGTAGATTCTTTGACATAAGGAGAGACTGTTTGACTATAGAGTCATTATCTTTGTTGTTGAGGTAAACAAAATATTTCATAATTTTCTGATTTATCGGATAAGCAGCGGCAGTCTATCAAGTTCAGTCTGCAGTGTTATTATTGTTAACCTCTAAGTAACGTTTACAGAATTTGAGGTGGATTTTTTCTATTGGGTAGCTATCCCATTTTTTAAAATCTTGCTTGGTATACATTCCCGGCCGTTAACAAAACCCGGATCGGATTGCTCGGATCGGATCGGATCGGACTCCGGATCGGATCGGATCGGATTTCGGATCGGACTAGTATCTTCACTTTTGGTGCAGAAGAATTATTTTGACAAAAGCTGCTTTAACAATGACACAGGTGGCTCGGACATTTTCATCTAGTAAACTTCTATTCAGTCACGAAATGGAGGTTTCAGCTTTCAGATGAGTTTACTTCTAAACATGTAATCCGTGTCTGTCTGTAATACAAATCAGTGACAAGAAGATGTATGCCAACAGGAAGGACCGGTAGCTAGTAGTGGGCCGGGCTGTGTTGAACGTAGAATTTATGTGTAGCAAATAACCTTGAAAGGAAACGTGTTTAAATGCACATGCTAATTTCTGCTGATGCACAAGTGACACCTAAAGGGCCGGATATGTTGCAGAAAACACAGAAGCGACCAATCGAAGAATCTCGTTTCACAGTATTTGTAATAAACAATTTTAATATCGTACCTTCGCTCTTCATTTTTAACGTTTCAATTGCCTCCTCTGAAAAGGAAACCGTTCAAGTAGGCTCAGAAAATAACGAGATCACTTTACAATAAAAAAAAGAAAAGAAACACTAAATTAGTTACAGAAGATTGTATACATACTTTTCTCTCCGCCATCTTCGTTCCGGGGGATGTCACGTGACCATTTTTGGCGGGAATTTAAGGCGAATTGCCAGTCCGATCCGATCCGTAATCCGATCCGATCCGATCCGAGCAATCCGATCCGGATTTTGTCAACGGCCTACATTCCCCATACCTCGCTGTTGTAACTCAAGATTGGGAATACCATGGTGTCAAAAATTTGGGATGCAGTATTAGGATTAAGTTTGTTAAGAATTGTCCGCTTCCGAATACTAGAAAACGCGTGAAGGGCCTTTTCTTTTAAGTGTTCGAGTGCAAGTGTAAAGTTTCCCGTTGGAGTTAAACGTGTACCTAAATAAGTGTATTCTTGGACAATTTCAATTGACTCACTGCCTATGTTGAATTTGATGTCAATAGATTTTTTTTTGGGCGTTTCTGGAATATCATAATTTTGTTTTCTTCGGATTAATTTTTTAGCTTCCATTTGTCAGAAAGCGCATTTAAACAGTTCTGTAATCCAGTTTTCGATCTTGATAGAATAACTAAATCATCTGCGTAGAAAAGTGAATTTATTTTTTTTTCCATTTGGGAGTGGGTCAGATAAGGTGTTTTCGAATAAAAGTGGTAGATTGTTTAAATAGAGGTTAAATAAAAGAGGACTTAAAATACAGCCTTGACGTACACCTCTGGAATATGAAAAAGGCTGTGTTTTGTTTTCACCGATTTTGATGGAACATGTCGAGTTGCAATAAAGACTTTTCATGAGGTTGTACAAGTTTCCTCCTATATTCGTTTTTTAGCAGCTTATAAAACAATCCTTCGTGCCAAACAGAGTCAAACGCTTTGCGAAAATCTACAGAAACAAGCGTAGACTTTTTCCTTGTGATAATGCACATATTTATCTATTAGGGTCCTTAGAGTGAAAACATGGTCTGCAGTGCGGTTTTCAGGCAAAAAGCCAATTTGGGAATTATGTAATATCTTATTTTCCTCAAAATACAAGTGAAGTCTTCGATTTAAAATAGAACAGAACAATTTTCCAAGGCAACTAGAAACACATATGCCTCTGTAATTTGTTGGATCACTCTTGTCACCAGATTTGTAAATTGGGGTTATGAGGCCTTGACACCAAACATCTGGCATTTTTCCGGATTGTAAAATGAGGTTAAAAAGTTTGACATAGACAGGCATTAGTGGTTCGAGGCTTGCTTTGATCATTTCATTTCGTATTTTGTCAATAAATGGTGATTTCTTATTTTTCAATTGGTAGTGGTAGTGGTAGTGGTAGTGGTAGTGGTAGTGGTAGTGGTAGTGGTAGTGGTAGTGGAAGTGGTAGTGGTAGTGGTAGTGGTAGTAGTAGTAGTAGCAGCAGCAGTAGTAGTAGTGAACTTTATTAATGTGTCAAGAATCTCCAGCGCATAGCACTCTTTGGTTACACAGAAGATAAAAAATAAAATATTAAAATCAAAGAGTCAAATATTAAAATCAAAAAAGTAATAGAAATAGCAATAGCTAAGAAAGTTGAAAATTTAAGACCTTTTTACACGTAAAAATGTATGTATACGATAACAGGATAATTTTGCTTAGTAACGTAGCTAGGGTCTCAAAGTTAATTATTATGAAAATACTGTATCATTTACGTAATAAAGTCACTGGTGAAGCTCTGGTGACATCATAAGCCTTCATCATAAATCAAACCGCAACAGTAATATCAGTTATGACACTAACAACGGCCACATTCATTAAAATAGCCAAATTTTTTTCTACGGCCATCCTCAATTAAGGCAGTCAGGTCTGTTCTCCTAATTTTAGTCTTAAATCTGCGCAGACTGTCCTTGGCACATATATGCATATATTTGCAACAGGAAGTCGAAATCATGAGATTTTAAATGTCCATTAGAGGCCAATTTATGCGTCCTTATTTATCTCCCTGTTTATTGATTTATAGATACGTTTTTCTTTATTTATTTATTTTTGTGTGTGGGAAAACCGTAGAGTATTGTAAAGTATATAAAGCATGGTCTCCCGCCTATTTACATCTCTAAATTATTCAGTGCAGAGAATAGCTGTTTAACTAGCTTACAGATCAATGGTTGGAACTTCTCATTTGGTCCATGCTATCCAAAAAATTATGAACTGCCGAAAGCCGGTCTCTTAAGACTTTTAGTCTTTCTTGTTTTAAGACTCTTAAATGAATTTATATCAGGAAAGTCGGCCTATCCGGAATCGTTAACAGATACGTAAATATCCACAGCATAGCTCCAATCAACTGTAGAAACGAATTGTATATCCAATTAGTTTTAAGAATTCTAGTGCCAGGAAGGTATAAAAAATAAAGCGTATAAAGCAATCTAAGCTCGAAGGTTAAAGACTTAATCCAACTGTTTTCATCAACAGTAAGTTAAATGAAGACCCTCTGGTGCGAGAAAATCAAGCCCGTTACTGTTAACCAACGATATAACAATGAAACCTGTGTGATGCACGATATGGGGCCAGCGGCATGAACGTATTGATGGACTCAAACAGAAATCATCGTCCATACATACACAGTTTTTAAAATAATGAAGAGCGTGCCACTATGCCCGTCTTGAGCAGTTTAACGTGCTTGTAAAATTCAACACCATATTTGACAATACCGTTTCAGAGATGCATTTCGTCCTTAACATTGGTCCATTTTTTAAATAACAAACTGACTTTGGCTATGGTAAGGTGTCTTTTAAGAATAGGTCAAAGCGCCTTTATTAGTCTGCTGTTTTCTAGAAACTTGACACTATTTATGTCAATGTTTTTTGAGAATGGGGTTACGATAAATCCGAAACGTCACATTTTTCCACTTGATTTCATGTGATTTGACTTTTCTGTGATTATCTGCAGAGACTTATCATCAAACGCCATTACAAACAAACTTCCTGACAGATTGTTTGACAAGCTGACTATTCTAACTGGA